TGAGTTGGCGAACTGAAACCTTCATTTTGAGCGAGAAAATGACCTATCAACGGCGAGGGCCAAAGAGGAACGCATTGATGAAAGGATTGGGGAGTTGGAAAAAGAGACCTCCGATCTTTATGATCGAGTTGCTGCTCTGGAGGCCGAGAAGGCCCAACTTCTTGCACGGCCTTATTCGTCTACGGCTTCTGTCTTTCCTGACGTCCCTGTGAGTTGTATGAAAAAGGGATTCATGCCAAGGTCGGACTGGATGTGTATCGTGAGTTGCATGCGATGGGTTTTGTTTCTGAGGTGGCCCTTGAGGATGCTCGGGTCAAGGCTCCTAAGGCTCGAATTTCTTGTGGCCACGACCCGGCTACGCCTCTCCCTAGCGAAGAGGAAGAGAACAGGGAGTATGCTGTAGATCATCTTGAGGATGAGGCCTGATACGATTCTATTTACCCTCCAGGCAAGGATGGAGAGGATGCTGAAGATTGGGACGGTGATGGCGTTGACGGTCAAGGAAGCGTTGTTGTTTAGGGGTAGGACCGGTGAGGATGTTGTGGGTCGCGACGGCGAATAGTAGTTTGTTTTTATCATTTTGTGTACTTTTGCTGGCGTCTCCAAGAGCCTTTGTAAAGAAAACCTTGTCTATAAATATTAAAATTGATTTTTGCTTTTGTTTGTGCCTTTCTTATTTACCGTGATTTGTTTCTATACTTGCGTGTTTTGTTCCTTCATATTTTTGTCGTCGTCCTCTAACTGGTCGTACTCTTTGGGTTGAATAGCCATAGACTGAATCATCTCTTTGTCCATATAGATCGAATATGTCTGAGGATCGATTGGTTAAGTTTGAAATTGGTTGGACTTAGCTTCTCGTTTGGTTAAATTTAACCTTCCATTGCAACGTGGTTGATGGCCGATATGTGTTATTCGAACTTGGTCAAATTTTGACCTCTTGTTAAACTTGCGGTCGAGGGCCGATAGGTGTTGTTCGAACTCGGTCGAGCTTAACCTTTTATTGAGGTGTTTTTGATAGACGTAATTTTCTATTACTTTGACATTGTTCCTCTGATTATATGATTGGAGAATGTTGCAAACTTTGGGAATTGGTTGGCGTTCCAGTCCCATCCACAATCTATCTAGTCCTTTCATTGTTCGACTTAGAGAGTATTGAGGAGCCGGGCAATGAAAGAGAAAGCAGTACATTCTTTGCATACATCAACTCGAAGTGTTCCTTTCGTTACCTCATAAAAACCTCCTTGAGAAACCCTAATGGGACAAAACTCAAGTGAGGGAAAAAAGTACGACTTAGGGGAGCTTCTTCCTTTTAGAAGTTGAAGTATTTGAGGTGGCTGATGTTCCAATTGTTTGGTAATTGTTTTCCTTCCATTGTCTCTAGTTGGAGTGAACCCTTGTTTGCTTTGACTGTAATTTTGTACGGGCCATCCTAGTTTGTTCCCATTTGTCTTCCCGTGGATTTCTTCTTGCTTGGGTTTTGGCTTTGAGTACGTAGTCCCCGACTTTGAGCGGCCGGACCTTTGCCTTCTTGTTGTAGTAACGTTCCGCTTGCTGCTTCTGGAGGACCATTCTTATGTACGCCATATCTCTTCATTTGTCAATCTCATCGAGCTCTTGCCTTCAACTCTCGTTATTGCTAGTGCCACTTTCATGAGAATACCTTAGGCTGGGTTCTCCGACTTCGACTAGTATGACTGCTTCGATTCCATAGACCAGAGAGTAGGGCGTCTCTCCTGTGCTAGTCTTCGGGGTGGTTTTATATGCCCTCAATACTTCTGGGAGTACTTCCGGCCACAGTCCCTTGGCGTCTTAGAGATTTTTCTTCATGATCTTTAATATAGACATGTTGGAGGATTTTGCCTGCCTGTTACCTGCTGGGTGATATGGGGTCGAAAGTATTCTCTTAATATAACATTTCTCGAAGAATTTGGCGGTTTTCTTTCCCACAAACTAAGGTCCGTTGTCGCAACTGATCTTTTTAGGTAGGCCAAATTGATAAATGATGTTTTCCCATATGAAGGTGATTAACTCTTGTTCTTGTATTTTGGCGAACATCCTGCTTCCACCCATTTAGAGAAATAGTTATTTAAAACTAAAAGGAACCGTGCGTTACCTCGCCATGCTGGGAGGGGGCCCACGATGTCCATTCTCCACTTGATGAAAGGCCATGGAGAAGTAACAGAGTGGAGATGCTCGCTTGCTTGGTGAATTATTGGGGCATATTTCTAACACTGTTAGCATTTTTTCACAAATTCTGAGGTGTCTTTTTTCATGGTGGGCTAGTAGTATCCTACCCGCATGAGATATCTAACGAGCGCTCGATCATCGGAATGAGCACCGCAATGGACTTTATGGACTTCTTCGAGGACGCGCTAGGTTTGGTTTGGGCCCAAACATTTCTCTAGAGGGCTTCTGTATGCCCTCTTGTATAGGTCACTGTGAGGAGGTTGTATTTGGCTGCCTGCATTCTTAGTCTTTTAGCTCTGTTTTTGTCGTTTGGGAGTGTGCCCTCCTGCAAATAGGCGATAATATGATTTCGCTAATCCCAATTTAAACTTATAAATCTTACCTCAATTTTGCGACGAGTTGAGGAGGTGTACAACATTTTTATCCCCGGTCGTGATGGTTTTGGTGGCCGTAGCCCCTTTGGCAAGGCCATCCGCTTCCACATTTCTAGCACGCAGGATCTGGTCGAGCTGGCATTCTTCGAACTCGGGCAGCAGCTGGAGATCGTGGTCTGATATTTTTGCAACCTTTGTTCTTTGATTTGGAAAGTCCGTGTGACTTGATTGACTATGAGCTGGGAATCACAACGGAGCTTTAACCTCTTCTCCCCATACTTGACTACTAGTCTCAATCCTGCAATTACGGCCTCATACTCGCCCTCGTTGTTAGTCATATCTAGGCATCTTATGGACTGGCAAATTACTTTGCCGGTAGGGACCTCGAGTACGAGTCCTAGTCCGGATCTGGAAGTGTTGGATGTGTCGTCACTGTATAGTACCCAAAGGTCTTGTGTTTGGAGAGAAGCTGGATGGATTCCTTCTCGACCTTAGGCATTATTTTTGCGCTGAAGTCCGCGACGAAGTCGGCGAGCACTTGCAACATTATCGTTGTTCCCGGATGATATGTGATATCGTGCTCTCTTAGCTCGATGGTCCACTTGGCCAGCCTCCCCGATAATTCGGGTTTATTTAAAATGCCTCTTAGAGAAAGCTGGTAACAACCGAGATAGGATGGCACTGGAAATAGGGTCTAAGCTCTCGCGAAGCTATGACTAGTGCCAGGGCCAGTTTCTCGAGGTGTGGGTACCTCATTTCGGCGTCGATTAGTGTTTTGCTAATGTAATAAATGGGAGATTATGTACCTATACTTTCTTGGATCAGGACTACACTTATTGCCACTTCGGAGATGGCCAGGTAGACGAGGAGATGTTCCCCTTGTTCGGGCTTTGAGAGTAGAGGCGGTGATGAAAAATACGCCTTCAGCTCACGCAGAGCTTGTATGCATTCGGGAGTCCACTCAAAGTTGTTATCCTTTTTGAGCACGCTGAAAAATCTATGAAATTTGTCACATGACCGCGAGATAAATCTTGATAGGGTTGCGATTCGACCAGTCAACTTTTGGACTTGCTTCTTAGTAGTCAGTTGCTCCGGTATCCCTTAGTTAGCTTTGATTTGGCCTGGGTTGAACTCGATCCCCCGTTGTGACACTAAGAAACCCAAAAACTTCCCTGAGGCTACGCCAAATGCGTATTTTCTCTGGGTTTAGTTTCATTCCGTGACGTCTCAATATATCGAAAGCTTCCTTCAAATGGTCTATATGGTCCTCCACGTTTATGGATTTGACTAGCATGTCTTCGATATATACCTCCATGGTCTTGCCAAGCTGATCTTTGAACATTTTTGTGACCAATCTTTGATAGGTGGCTCCTGCGTTCTTCAGCCCGAATGGCATGGCCTAATAACAATACGTTCCTCGGTGGGTGATGAATGTGGTTTTCTCCTGATCATGATAAGATCTGGTTATAGCCGGAGTGCACATCAAAAAAGCTCAATAGCTCATGCCCGGTTGTCGCATCGATGAGTTGGTCGATATGTGATAACGGGAACGAATCCTTCGGGCATGCTTTGTTCAAGTCTGTGAAGTCTACACACATCCTCCATTTCCCTTTTTTCTTTTTGACCATCACTACTTTGGCAATCCACTTGGGGTATTTTGATTGCCTGATGGAGCCATTTTCTAATAGCTTCTCCACCTTATCGTGGATGGCATCGTTGATGGCGGGGTTGAATTTTCATCTAACTTGCCTTACTGGGGGTAGAATGGATCGACGTTTAATTTAAGTATGGCAATCTCCTTGTGGATACCCGGCATATCTGCATGGCTGAAGGCAAACAAATCCACATTAGTTATTAAAAATTGACTAAGTTTACCTGGTTCTCGGAGTTTGCAGTCGATGTAGGCTTTTTTGTTGGAGTCGATGTGGTCTAATTGAACTAGGTCGAGGTCCTCTATAGTTTATTCCGCGGCTTCAACAGTTTTGGGGTCTATGATGACGTCCCTAGTTTCTTTTTGTGTCAACCTCGACCTTGTTGAATGTTATGCCCCTTTTTCCTTGTATTTCTTTTGCTGGGTTATCGTGCCGTCTAAGGCGATGCGGTAGCATTCCCTGGACGTGCATTGTTCTCCCCATATGTTGAATATCACCCAAGGTCTTGGGAATTTGATTACTTGGTATAAGCTGGAGGGGACAGCTCTCATGGGATGTATCCATGGTTGTCCTACTATGGCATTGTATGCGGTGGCTTGGTCCATGATATGGAATGTTGTCTCCAGAGTTATACCGCTGGCCAAGATGGGGAGTGTTATTTTGCTTGATGTCCGTTCAACTGCATTATCAAAATCGGTTACTCTGTTGCAGCGTGGCACTATCTTGTCCTCGAGTCTCATCTGGGTGAGGACTCGGGGATGAATAATGCATGCTCTGCTCCTATCGTCTACCATGATACATTTGACATCAGTATCAAAATTCGTAAAGTAATGAGGAGAGCATCATTGTGAGGGAAAGTCAAACAGTCGGCATCTGACTCGTCGAAGATGATACTTGTTTTGAGTCCGTCATACCGTTTATAGGTGATAGATCTTTTGAGCTTGTGAGTGGCAGTGAATTTAACGCCGTTGATAGAGGCATTGTCGCTGCCGCCAATGATCATATTGATGGTGTGAGCTGGTGACGGTGGCTTCGGCGGGCCTTGGCATTCACGGCCTCTAGCGAAGTTGTTTCTTCCCTTGTCGCTCAGTAGCTCTTTGAGGTGTCCTTGCTGCAACATGTTCACAACCTCTTGCTTGAGGGAAATGCAGTTTTCTATCTTGTGCCCGCATTTTCGGTGGAATTCGCAGAGGGCATCGGATTTTCTAGTGCTCCGGCTGGACCTCATCTTTGGAGGCCACTTCACCTTCGTGCCGAGTCTCTCTAAGGCATAGACTATTTCTATAGGTGACACATAAAAATTGTGACCAGACAATAAGAGGGGCATACCTCTCTCGTTGCGGTGAGTCCCCGTCCTCAGCCTAGATGGGCCTTCATCATAATGGAAGGAAGTTGGGGCAGGGGCCTTGATGTATGGTTGATGTCGTTCCCTATTTGGTTGTGAGATCGGGTGATCCCTTCTTATGTTGTCTCTTCGTTCTTTCCTGGGCTCGGCTTGTAACGAGACGAGCCGTCGAGTTAGTCCGTGGAGGTTGTCATCGTCTGCTCGGACTTCGGCACAATAAGCATTATGGATTTCATCCCAAGTGGTTGGAGGGTACTTCATCAACCGGCTCTGCAATTTTCTTGTCGCTCTTGAACCCTCTCTACTAAACCCATTCTGAAAGTCCGCGACTGTCATCCCTTCGGACACGTTTGGTAGGGTTATCCTTACCTTGTTGAATAGGGAAAGGAACTTCTTGATGGAGAAGATGTCGCTTACTCTTTTTTCGGCTTTCTTGGCCCCGACATGCACCGTTACAAACTTAACAGCCATTTCTTCGAAGGTTTCTATGGAACGAGCTGGTCTTTGTGAATACCATGTTAATGCTCCTCCCGTGAGGGTTTTTCCAAATATCTTCAGCAAAACAGAGGATACTTGTTACTTGATGAGGTCGTTTCCCTTCACGGCGGTGACATAATGACGTGATCTTCGGGGTTAGTCATTCCGTCATATATCCTGAGATATGGCGGCATTTTGAAGTTCTTTGGTATGTCATGCGGGGCTGATTCCTTGCTATACGGTTGTTATATGAATCTACCGGCGTCCCTCTCTGGCAATAGCTTAGGGGCGCGTGGTATCTTGTCGACTCGTTCTTAGTATTCTTTCATTTGATCTCTTTTTTCTTTTTGTTTTAATTCTCCATTTCTTCCATCCTCTTTAGGACGGCAGCGACGACGGTATCACCTGCATTGTTAGTAATATTGTGAGTTATACCTGGTGTTGGTTGTCGTCCTGCTCGTTTGCTCGTTGCACTGTGTGGGCTCTTACGGTCTATATGGTCATACATGGAGCAGGTTTGTTGAGAACGCTTACTAACGTATCGGTGAGCCAGTGGTTAGTACCCTCTCCGTGAACATGGAGGCCATTTTTCCATTTGGTTTTGTCATGTTGCAATGGGGGGAGCCACCTCTCGCGCCTGGGGGAGGCAGTCGGTGTCACATCATCGCCTAGCGTTTCACAGCTCTTGTTGATAGTGTTCATGAGGTTGTCATGGAAGTCACCTGTCACTTTAGTCCTATCTCCTTGGTTTCCTGCCATGTAGGTTTCCTTATGTGCAAAGAAAGAGAAAGATCTCATGGTTTGTTAGGTTAGTGACTTACGTGAGTTATAGATCTAAAGAAAACTAAAAAATTAGCTAAGACGATGGCAAACTGTTTGACTCTAAAATTGAGATTTGGGTTCAACCAATTAGATTTATATAAAATATAGTGAATCTTAGCTAATATCATATCCAAAAGACAAGGTTATCGATTTTATGGCAGATAGTATGTATATTTGATTGAATGGAAATATATGTAAGCAATAATACAAGTGTTCAATGATCCAAAAAGGTGGAAGATAGCATTAAATAATAATAATAATAATAATAATAATAATAATAATAATAAGTAACAATAAATGAAATTTAAGTAAATAAAAATATATGAGCCGCCCAAAAAGGGGCAAGATCTGTGGATATTCTTTCTGACAATGATGAATGATTGATGAGCCTTTGAACATTCAGGTTATTCTCGGATCAAGTGGAAAAGTTAGACAAGAATCATAGTGAAAAAGTTGTTTTCGTATACTTGTAATATGATCAGATTCTCTCTATAAAGTCAATGCGTTTTTCTTACAAGTGAATATCCCCCCATCATTGTGTCTCTTTCTATTTATAGGGAACAAATTTCCAAAAAAACTTTGTAGTACAAGTACAAATAATATCCACTAAAATATTCTCTATTGTGTCATATCCTAAAACTAGCCGTTATAACTCTGTCCAGGATGTTCGACCTCGACCTCAATCTACGACGAGTTCTCGACCTTGATCTTTGCTGACTCTTCAACCGGACCCTTCATCGCTTCAGGGACCACTTCGACCTTGGGCGGGTCTTTGTTGAAGTCGTACTGATGACACGTGGCAGTCTGTGAGTGCCTCCTTAATGCTAACATGGTTTGGTCATATCAGAGATAATTTTTGACCCATATAGTTAGCATCAACAATAAATGAATAAATTTGTCAATGAGCGGCCCATCACCACACCATCAATCAAGCCAGAAGTTGACTAATCTAAAAAAAAACAGCCTGGTGCATTAAGCTGCCGTAATATGCGAGGTCCGAGGAAGAGCGGGATCATAAGGATCCATTATATACAGTCTTACCCTGTATTTCTGCAAGAGGCTGTTTGCACAGCTGTTTACTGAAGATAAATTATCTTCGGTAACCCAAATTCCGTTTTACGCTCTTAAGTAGAACACCCTTCGCTTTCATAATACTTCGCCAGAAATAGGAAGTATTTTGCGTAGGTAACCTATTCGATATAAGTTGACTTTGAAAGTACATACTTGTATACGAGTATAATTGGGAATAAAGTTATCATTGATTTTCCAGTTAAGAAACGAGAGGGAATGTGATACCCCATAATAAAATAAGGATAGTTAGGTAATTTACAAAAAAATAGAACAATCTTATTTTAAAAAAAAAATAAGAAGAAGAAGAAGAAGAAGAAGAAGAAGAAGAATGCAATTAAGTGGGCCGAACCCACCAAGTTGTTGACCTATAGGGTTTCAATAAGAAGGATTTTGAAGAAGCTTTAGAGCTTCGGCGAAGAAGAAGAAGAAAAAGGGAAAACAAAGAGTAAATAATGAAATTTCAAGAAGTACAGAAAAACGGGTTGAAGTGGAGAAAAGCTCTGGAGAATGGAGGAGATATCTACTGGCAATGAGATTCTTGAGAAGAAACAAACTTTAGTCAATGCTTACTATAGCACGGATTCGCATAACCCCCAAAAAAAAGGTAAAAATTTCTGTATTTTATTTAAAATAGTATCCCTATATACTAAATCTATGACGTACTGGTTGAGTTAAATTGTAATACTAAAATTGAGTTTGGTATTTAACTATGATGGGTAATAGTAACATGAACTTTTATGGTGAAATAAACTAGTTCATGAATAACCACGAACCTGGAATGAAAAAGTTATTAGGAGTTAATTAGTTTTGATAGCATTATGGGTAGTCTAACAGATAATATTTTGAGTAACACTAAGACGTGTGTAATCGGAATTGTGACTCGCTATCACTTAAACTTACTGAATTTTGCGGATGGTAACATAAACTTATATTAATTTATAGATTTCACACGAACTGAGCACTTGGATCGATAAGAAGTCATACAGATTGCTCGAGATGGTTGGTATTGTGACACGAGTATTGTGAGTAGTAATCTTACCGCAATTTGTGTTTTCATAACTTGCATGATTTGCACATGATTTTTAATATGAATATGTTACTGATTATTTTGAGTTGCATGTGGGACAAGTCTTTTACTCGATATGATACCGAAATAGTTATTTGACATGATTATCGGTGTTTTAAATATTCTTGATGTCACAAGATATGTTTTACCGTTACTTGAATTTACTGTTATCGAAATAAAATTACATGATTTGATAAGAACCGAAATGCCCTATATTGTTTTAAAATATTTTCCTATGAGTATATACGGATACAGAGACAAGTATAAATGGGAGTATACTTTGAAGGATCCCGTAGCTAACGGCGGGTTCGTTAGACCTGGTGCACCTTGTATTTACCGATTACAAAGTACAGTTATAGCCCTCGCTAGTGGGAAGGTAGAACTAGCATACCATTACCGATTTTCCTCGAGTAGGGACTACCGTTATATTTGACTTCTTGCGAAGAATTCCACAGTTATACCGATTACATGATCCATTCATTGAAGCCTCCCGAAAATGTGAATACTGATATTATACAGTGGTTACCGAGCTTATTACTGAATTGTTAATTATATTATACTACAAGAAAAGCGTAATGAGACTGAAAATTATTTATTGTTTCTGAAAGGGCATTTTTATGTTATTTTCTGTTTGAGATACTAGCATGTTTTCTGACTTGTCCTCAAATAAAAACGGTTGTGGTTAAGTGTTATTACTCACTGAGGTAGCGACTCATTCCCCGCTAATTTTTTTTACAGAGACGGCAGTTAACGTGGGCGAGGATTTCGTTAATTAGAACGCGCAGGTCGATAGTTCCTGGTGAGCCCCGCATTTGTTCGCGTGGGCGAAAAGTTTATTTATTTATTTATTATGTTCTCTCCTTTTGAACTCTTAGAGTCGCTCCATATTCATTTCATTAGTGTCATGAGTATTCGTTCATTATTAGACCCATGACTAGTATTAGATTCTCTCATAGTATTTTGGAGATGAAGTTAATATTACCGTATTGCAAGTGATTAATTAATAGTGGTGAATAACTGTTTGATTAGTTGATGAAGATTATGAGATATTTGGTTGATATAGGTTGGTTTTGTTGCTGATTTTTGAGACAGGGTAAACTTTTGGATAGTCCAAACTAGGGAAAACTCTGTTCGATTTTCTGAAAAATACCGTTGAGGCTTACTTAGGGGCACTTGTTCCTAAGTGCCAGTTATGATCCTTAATTGGGTCGTGACAAAGTTGGTATCAGAGCCAGGTTATTCTTGTGACTAATGGAGCACACGTCGGTAGTAGAATCTCAATTATGGTTATGTAGCCGGCCATTCCCATAATTGTGATTCTACGAGGGCGTGATAGGATATTTCTTATCTTTCTTTCTTATTCATTCGCGTGTGTATGGCAGATAGGGTCAAATAATTCAATGTCACCTTTTCTCTTGTTCCTGCTTGGCTAGGACCGTTCACCCAATAATAGAATTTGGTTAGAGGTTCAAAGACACAAGTGCTACCACCGGAGACGCAATTCTCTTCCAACAAAAGAATGCGATGAATAGAAAGGCCAATGAAAAGGGTTGTTGTACCATAATGAGGGACTTTCATACCTCTAAAATGTGTAATGGAACCCATTCTTGAAATTAGCAATTGTTAACCACTATAGAAATAGGAGATTTTCATCAAAAAGGTACTTACCTCCATGAATAAGGGAAATTGAGATCTTGATTTATATAATGGATAGACAAAAGAGAATCAGAAAAAAAAAATAGGGCACTAGAAGCCTCGGGCGCCTAAATTGACATATGTTGTCGAGAATAGAGATGTTTCCTTAGCAAAATTCTTATACAGATTGATGTTACCAAGTTTACCATTTCTGATAGTTGGGAAGATCTTCAAAGGTTTTTAATGAATAAAAAAAAACATAAAGCATTATGGACCCTAGGATACTCTAGCGAGAGGTGGGCGGTGCTAACAACTTATCGACTGAAGAAAATGGTCAATTTAAGGTATGATATATATTTTTAGTTACATAGGTAGGAGCACACAACTATTTTGGGAACGA